TGTACTTACATGTTTTTAATACCCTTAGAAAGTAGGGGACTGTTTTCTTCTTTACGCTCTCACTATTTGCTTCATCATCTTCTTTTTCTCCCCCACTTCTTCTTTTGAAAACACTAACACGTTCAGTCATTTCACCTACAATCTGGAGACAGCCTCAGTTGTTTCAGTCCTCTCTGTGAAATGGAAGCAGGTGGGAAGAGAGCCCAGCTCCCGGTCCGGCGGCAGCATCAGCGACACCCCCAGTGCTCTAGCAGAGCGTCCAGGCTGACACAGCCTTTTCTGCTGGGTTCTGAGTCACATGCTGCCAGGTAGGATGGGACTAAACCAGTGGATGAAGAAAGAGGAACAGAAGCATTTTCAAGCAGGTACTGCCTGCCAGTGTTGGGCTGCACTTTGTCCCTGCACTGCCATATTTAATCTTCTCAACGACTGTGAGATGCAGATTTCCACCTCATGAAAAGATAAATACAGTTAATAAATTTTATAAGTAGAAAAGAGATTTAATTAAGCCCAGGTCTGTCTAACTGCACAGGTCCTGGTCTCCTATCCTATGAGCTTTTCTTTTCTTTTTTTCTTTTTAGTGTCTTCTTAACATCCTTACATGTGTCTGTACTGTATCTTTAAAATACACTATTGCCTTGTTAGTTTTTTTTATTCTTTAACTTTTACAATTGGCCATTTACCAACCAGTGAGCTTATTTTGCTTTTCATCGTTTTTCCTCACACCTCCTATTTTCTTTCTTTAAAAATTTTTTTTGTTTGTTTTTTGAGACAGGGTCTCATTATGTAGTTCAGACTGATCTGGAACTCACTATGGAGCCCAGGCTGGTCTCGAACTCACAGCGATCCTCCTGCCTCAGTCTCCCAAATGCTGGGATTGCAGGCACGCGCCACCACACTCGGCTAAAAAATTTTTTAAAAATTTTGAGACAAGGTCTCACCATGTAGCCCAGGCTGGCCTTGAACTCATGGCAATCTGCCTGCCTGAGCCTCCCGAGTGCTGGGATTACAGGCGGGCGCCACCATACCCGGCTTCCATTTTTTTTGATACAACATTCTGATTTATGTAGTTCTCACCTTTTCTGCGACCAAATGCTGGGATTGCAGGCATGCGCCACCACACTCGGCTAAAAAATTTTTTAAAAATTTTGAGACAAGGTCTCACCATGTAGCCCAGGCTGGCCTTGAACTCATGGCAATCTGCCTGCCTGAGCCTCCCGAGTGCTGGGATTACAGGCGGGCGCCACCATACCCGGCTTCCATTTTTTTTGATACAACATTCTGATTTATGTAGTTCTCACCTTTTCTGCGCGACTCTAAGAAATAACAGGAAGTTCTCCTCACTTCCTTTCCGGTATGTCCACTACAAGCTGTTCGTCTTTTGTGTAAACTTTGATGGTAACTAGGCGATTGCAAACAGGAGACGGAGCCACACACTGGCCTTAAGCTCGTTGGTGTCAGCCCGTTTGGCTTTGAGCTCAGTGCTAGATTGGTGACATGCATTTAGCTCCTTCTGCGTCCTCTCTACCGTCTTCTCAAGCTTCCTGTTGGTGAGTTGGGCCTCGTCCCTCTCCGCAGCCAAGGCAGTGCGCAACTGCTTCTCCTCCTCCAGCTGGGCTATTTTCCGACAGAGGAGATTCATGCACAGCTCTTTGCTCTCCATCCTTTCTTTCTGAGTCTTTAACTTTCTCTGTAAATTGTGGGTGATTCTTGTTTTCGATGACTGCGTTGCTCTCCAGGCGGACCAGCTGTTCTGTGCGAGCTAAAACTACATCCAGACGCATATCAAAGCCAAGTTCAGCAGCCATCTGGTTCAGTTTGATTTTTTTCTGAAAGCTGATCCAGAAACTTAACATATTTTGTTTCTCAAAATTCACATTGTCTCGCAAAACTTCTCCAGAAACCACCTCTCCCTCTGGGTCTGTCAGCTGGCCCTGAAGAGGCTCCAGCCTGCTTTCTGCTTTCAGGGCCCTCTGTAGAGTTTTCCGGTGAGACTCAAACTCATTTCCCAACTGTTCAACAAGCTCAGATACTTGGGATTCAAGCTGAGAGCCTTCCTCATCCTGCTCTCTACCTGGCTGCCCATTTCTTGAATCTTCTCCAAAATGGCGTTTCCTGTGGTCCTCTAAGGAAGGCTGCAATTTTCTCCCTAAATAAGGAATTCTGGCTTTGTGAGGCCACGGCTGTATCCTGACTAGCCTTCAAACTCTTCTCCAACTCTTCAGAGCTTTTGTTTAGGAGGCTCAGCTCCTGCTTTGAGGCACCCCAGGCCCATGGGCCAGAAAGCAACCTTTCTTGGAAGATCTTAACTTCTCTTTCCAGAGCTTCTTTTGTCTCTGCAGTACTGAGACAATTCTGGGTCAGCTTGTTCTTCTTTTCTGCCCTGGGAGGAAGCTTTGCTTTGTCCCCTGTTGACTCCAGACACCAGCCTCAGTATCTCTGTTAGCTTTTGCCTCCATCTCATGGACATTTATAGTCTCTTCAAGACTAGCAGTTTGTCCTTTCATGAATACATTTTCCCTGCACAGCTCTCGAAGCTGGAAAATGAGATCTTCATCTGATGCCTTCTGGTCCTTCTGATCTGGATGTAGGCAGTCCTGAAGCTGAGTTATAAAGTCTGCATGCTTCCTGCGGTGATCTGAGACTTGCTTCTTATACTCCTTGCTTTCCTTTGTACACTTTTGTAATTTTTCATCTAGTTCTGCAATTTTACTCATTAATTCCTGGTTCTCCTTCATTGCAGTGTGAGCTGTGATTTCTGTCCTGATTTTAGAGGGGAAAAGTGCTGCTGAATTCTCTCCCATTTCCTGCCCTCGGTCTCTCAAAGAGGCGAGAAGAGATGATTTTCTGGCATTGTTTTCTTTGTAGTTCTATGTGTCAGCCTTCAGCTCTTGACAGCAAACTTCTTTAGAAAGCATCTTGGAGCAAAGGTATCAAAGCTCAGACTAAGCACATTCAAGTTTGACCAAAGTCCTGCAAATGCACGTCAAACATTTTCTGCCAGATTCTGGTAGTGATTTTAATTGCTCCTGGTTGAACAGGACTTCCAAGAGATGATCATAGTTTTTCTGGGCAGCATAGCAAGATTCTATTAATTATGAGAAAAATAAGAGGCTGAAAGTATAGCTCAGCAGTTGGAGAGTGTGAATGATGTCCTGAATTTGGTCCCCAGACTGATGAAAATTAAAGGGAAGAGGATGGGAGAGGAAAGAAAGGAAAACAGGAAGGAAAGAAGGAAGGAAGGTTCCAGCTTCCTTCCATTTTTTAATGATTGGGTTTTACTTTCTGGTGGTGGTTTTAGATTAATCTTTGTTTTTCTGGGTCTCTTCTCTTCTCTTTGACTGAAGTTCTTTTTTTTTTTTTTTTTTTTTTTTTGTGCGTGGGTCAAACTCAGGACCTTGCGCTTGCAAGACAGGTGGTGGCACCACCGAGCTAAATCTTAGCCTTTCTTTCACTCAATTTCTTGTTCCAGGAGCTCACTGTGGTCTTTCTGTTTTTCTGCTTGTAGGTAATTTAATATTTCATATTCTCTGTATATAGACGGAGACTCAGACTTAGACAGCTGCTCTTGCCAGCATCCACCTGGTAGTCCAGTAATTGTTTCTTGAATGATGTGCTACCAAATGACCATACCCTCTGGCCACTCATGATTGCCCCAGGATGGATATCAGACCTAAACTCTGCCTGACACCCTCTACCTTTTGAGAATTCGAAGTGAAGGATCTAGAGATATATAAGACATAGTATGGGCTAACCAGAGCTAGGAAGCCATGTGCGGCCCAGCCATAGGTCATGAGACTAAACGGATAGAGAGGCAGAAACCAAGAAGGTCACAGAGGCAGGCAGCATGCAGAAATCTCCAGTCCCTTTGGAGGGATGAGAGTGGTGTAGCAAGACTGAGAGCCGAAGACGGCAGCCTACGCAAAGTTGTTGGTGACGGTCTAATTTCCTGCCTCTGCAACTTCTGACCGTATTCAGCATATCTTTTATCACCATAATACATTTCCACCTTTTTTCTTGAACTTTTTTTGGTGTGTGTGGGTTTCCATTTCTTACAAGTAAGTATTCCCTAAGACTGGTCAATGACTTCCTGAATGTGGGTGGCTTTAATAAGTGTGCCCTATCTTGATATTATTACTGTGATGCAATAAAACATGGGGTATAAACAGTGGATGTCACAGGGTTGATGGAAGATATTTGACGGTATCAAATTACTGAGTCTGTTAGAAGAAGTTTGGACCTGGAAGGGATATAAGCAGAGTATCTAGCTTGGTTTCTGGAGTTTAAGGAATGTAGGCCAAGGGAAATGGACGTACTGAATTTTGGCATTGGGATAGGAGCCCTGTTAGAATTCCAAGTACAGCCTCCTTATACCAGCCTAGTTTTCTTTGGATTTCCTGTATTGGCTTGAACGCTGTAAACCCCAGCTGCCCCCAGAATGTGTCCACTTGGAGCCTTAGAATGTGACTAGGCTTGGATTAGCATCTTTGCAGATGTAATCAAATTAAGATGAGGTCCTGCTTCTTTAGGGTGGGTCTTAATCCAATCCCATTGGGGTATCCTCTATTAAAAATTATGCACAGATATAGTCTTTGTAATTGAAGCAAAGAGATTTTTCTGTTGGATATGTCAATGCTGGCTTTTTAATTCTTCAGTGGGCTTAGCTGTACCATTGTGTGATTTAGGAGGTAATAACACTGCTTGTTCCAGAGTTGTCCTAGCGTTTTTGAGGTAGAATGGCACTAGAAGAGTTTGGATTTTTCTTCTTTGTTTTGGAATAATTAGAGGTGGCAGTTATATGAAATGTGGGTGTGTGCATACATGTGACTTATGGGCCTGCTTGCTTTCTCCTCTCCCTCCTACCCTCCCTTCCCTCATGGTGCTGAGGGTTAAACTGAGGGCCTTGTGCATGGTAAGCAAGACTCTACCACTGGACTGTACACTCAGGCCCTTACGGGCTTTCTAATATAGAATCTGAAATAGTCTTCTCTTGTTTTCAGATTGCTGAAGCTGAAGGAGATGTTTAAGTCTAAGTTCGGATCCTTTCCCAAGTTTTATGTTCGAGCACCAGGAAGAGTCAACATAATAGGTATTTCAAAACTTTCTTCTCTTCTCCTTTAGTAAGATCCAAATTTTTGTTAGTATACTGCTTTCTTAATTTTTCCTTCATAGAGAATATTTCACCACCACAATATACTTCTATATAAGGAACACATTTTACTTTCATCTTTTCCAATCCATTCAATAATATTAATTTTATCCATTTGTTTTCTAAGTCAGTATAGTTTTTGAAATCCAGTAGTTCGTAATTTTTTTTAGAAATACCACAGATTACATTTTTAGTCTGTAGTGAGATTTTTTTTTTTCCAATACCAGGGATCGAACTCAGGACCTTGTGTTTGTGAGGCAGGCGGGGTGCCACTGAGCTAATCCCTGGCCTTGTAGTGAGAAATTTTGATGGCTTCACACTTATTCACTGGGTAGGGAAATCCTGACCTTATAGTTCCTTGCTTCTAAAAGTATGGTCCAAGTTTTTCAGGTTTTTTAGGTAAATTTATCTTTTCTCCTATGGAATAGCTCTGAGTTGAACTACAGTTTAGTAGTAAATTACAGCTGTTTAACAGTAATGTCTGACATTTTTCTGTCCATCTCCTATGTATATAATAATTGATATAGTTTAAGTTAGATCACATACCGTTTTCATTTAATATATCAAATATTTTCTTATGTTTCTATATAAGTCATAATTATTATTTTAATAACTTCAACATGTTGAATAGCAAAATTTGGTATCCTTTAATTTGCTTAACAATTTTCTTTCATGGCATGTGAATAATTTTCAGTTTCTAGTTCAGCCAGTAGTTCATTTAGAAAGGACACAGGTGAGAACAGCATTAGTTATTTTATCATTTGATTATTTCTGGTGAGTTTTTTTTTTCCCCAGGTGAAGCAGTGAAGTTGGTAGGCTTCATGAATCCCTTTCATGGGGTTTAAATTGCTTGTTTTCCACAAAAGGATATTGAATTTATTTGCTTGTACTTTGCTCAGCAAGGTTGTCTGAATTTTCAGCAAGTCTTGTTGAGACAGTGTTATTTTTGAAGCATTATTTTAAAGCCACGTGGAACCTATTTTGCTAGCTTCTCAATTTATTCTAGATCAAGGTAGCTATCAGAAGCCTGTAAATTTCGTACAGAGTTGTCCAACAAGTAGTATCTTGCTTATCTGTAATTTTTGAGATCCATCGTCAAGGTTAGTGTGGAGGATATTGTGCATGATATCGTCACTGTCCCTTTTTAGAAGACACAAATGAGCTGCGGAGTTAGCTCAGTGGGGCCATCGCCTGCCTGGCAAGTGTAAGGTCCCAAGTTTGATCCCCGGTACAAAAAAAAAAAAAAGAAGACATAAATGATAATTTTTGCTTTGGCTGACGATATATACTTATATTGTCTGTTGTAGGGAGCCACTAGAGATGTGTGACTGTTTAAATAGAACTGATTGTAGTGAAATAAAACTTACACTCACTTGTGCCAGCCACCATTCAGTGTTGTTTAGACAGCACAGACCCAGAACATTTCCATGCTCCAGAGCATTTTGTTAGGCTGTGCTGGCTTCTGTAAACGTTGGCTTTGGCTGCCCAGAGGTTAGGAAGAGAAGCTGTCTCAGATCATTTCTGTGTCTCCTCAGCCACGGTGTCCTTGACAATGACCTGGGTGTCCAGGCCTCTCTGGATCCAGAGCATAAGGGAAGCAGTAGCTGCTAGCTAGACATCAATGTGGAAGAGTACCTCTCTCGTGAATGTGTTTACAGATTTAGGATGTGCTTAGTGTTTGAGGAGTTGAGTCTCATCTTGTTTTGGTTCTATCTTTGGTCTCCCCTGCCCTTTCCTCTAACTAGAACCCCACATCCCGTCCATGCCCAATGTCCCTCAGTCTTTAAGATTCTGTTCAAAGGGCTCTGCTGTAAAAGTTGGCCTGAGAGCAACGGTGTCCATGCACTCCTTGGCATGGTGCACCATGAAGTTTGTCTTTGCATTAAACAAGATCCTTTGCTTTGTACAATAAATGCAAGGCTTGGCCATTGAAAATTGCTTTACCAAACTCTGCAGTCTGGTTTTGTGCTCTGTTTGAAGCATGTTTTAGGAAATCAACCATATCCGTCAGCCTTGAATAGGTTTTTTCTTCTTCAAAAGGCCTCAACTAAAGCCAAAAAAACCCCACTCTTTTGGTAGACCCAGTGGATCACTTTGTTCTGCAGCCAATTTTTAAGACACTTTTTGGAGAGCAGGTAGAAGAATTAAAAAATTCTCCATATAAAAATGTTTGCCACCTAAAACAAACCTTAGACCTTTATGTAACACATACTTTGCTGAGGAAGTAGAGAAAGTGCCTTTTTATTTCTCCTTTCTGTTTACATGTTCAGTTATTATCTTGAATACTGTTTCCGAATGCCTGTTGTTTTTGTTTTGCATAATAACTTATCTACCCAAGAGGTTAACCTTTTCCCAAAGGGGGCCTAGAGTCTGAAATTTTCAAAAACAATTTGTTTGTGTCTTCTCTTATGAGCTGTTGTTTTAACAATGAAATCTTTACTACTTTCTAAATACTACTGGCCCCTGTGGAACCCTGCACCAGAGCAGAGGCAGCTAAGCAGTGAAAGGTGTCGGATCTGCCTTCTAGTTCTCTGCCACGAGGTGTCTAACTGCAAGGATTGAGTGATAAACTCCATGCTGAACAGCTGAGTAGATATTGGTACTGTTTTCCAAGAGAGGAATCCTACAAGAGGAGATAGAGCTTATACATCTGTTTTATAGTTTGAAGTGACTTTGGATTCCAAGAAAGGCATTTGGGTATGTGTTTCTGAAGCTCATTGAGATGGTGTAGATCTGGATCAGTGGCACATAGCTGGGAACCCTTGGAATAGATCAGTTGTTTAGGGAAACTGAATGTAGAAGAGCAGACTGCTGAAGACTGGAGCCTTGGGAGCAGGATCATTTCATGGTTGAGCAGAGCAAACACCAAAGAGAGAGTAAGGATGAAAGGCCGGTGTATCAGCCACAGAAAGAGAATCACAATAGAGTGTACCACATGCCAGTTTCTTTCCAGACATACACAGAAATTGTACTTTACCATTTATCTAGGTGCCTCTTAACTAAGTCCAGTTGGCAGCCGAAGTGAATGATGACAAATGAATTTTTTTTTTGTTTTGGTACTGGGGATCGAACTCGGGTCCTTGTGCTTACTAGGCAGGCAGCAGAACCACTGAGCTAAGTCCTTGGCCCACAAATGATATCTTAAAAGCCAAGGAGAACACTGTATCATAAAAGCATATTTCATGTGAAATAAACAAGTTGAATGGAACACAGAAAAAGACCCATGAAATCTTGCCAGAAGGAAGCCTTCAGTTTATTCTTCCATCCATTGAAGCTGTCGTTTACGTCCTGTGGTGAGAGTAAGAAGGCACAGTCCCCACCCTCCTAGGACTGACAGTCCATGGCAGGGGTAGGGTATTCTTTTTTTTTCTTTTGGTACCGGGGATCGAACTCAGGACCTTGCGCTTGCGAGGCAGGCAGCGGCACCACTGGGCTAAATCCCCGGCCCTCGGCAGGGTATTCTTAGTACCTACTGGCATAGCCTCCCGACTGGGACCTGCACAGCCCTGTGGGTTGATTAGAGCTGGTGCAGGCACTGACTGCTCAGGCTGCCAGCCATGCAAAGGGCCCAGTTAGAGCAGCCTCTCATTCATCTCTGTAACTTATTTCACATCCATTTAAAATTCTGTGTGAACAAAGACACTTAGAGCTGAAATATTTTTAAAACATTATTTGATAGGCTACAGTAGCAGTTAGAGGAATGTTACCCAATCCAGACCTGAAGGAGGCTGCAGAAGACTCTTCAGGAACATTGTAAGGGGTGGCCTCTAGTGTCAGCACCTTTTATAAAGAGAAAATGGGCTGAGGGTCCAAGAAAGGAGTCAAAGAAGGTTAAAGATCAAAGGAAGATTTAAAAAACCTTTTTTAAGAATGGAAAATGAAAACATAAAAAAGTAATTGGAGTAGAACACAGAACTCCCATGCATTTATCATCCAGTTTAACTTTAACAACTCAAACTATCTTATTTTATTGTGAAGCAAATAGTAGAAGATTTAATGAACATAGGGTGTTTTGGCTTAGCAAATGGGGGGAGTCACAGTGGGGTAAAGTGAAGGGAGAGAGCAGAATGGGAAATTTAGGTAAAAGTATGAGATTTGGAGCTCGAATTTCATGGGTAGAGAAGTTCTAGGTGACAAGAAGTTCTCCCTACTCTCCTCATTGGCAGTGTCAAGGCCACAGGAGTAGAAAGACACTGGTGCACAGAGATCAAAGGATGGGAAGCTGGGCCCTGGGTCAGGTCAGTCACCTGGATGTTCTCTGGGTTCTTGTGGGCTTGGGATGGAGACAGGGCTGGAACCTGGTGCTGAGGTCCACAGAGAGGAGCAGAGTGGCGGTGAGAGTCATGGATGGAAGTGAAGAGCACAAGTGTGGAAAAGGGCGGAAATGCAGAGCGAGAGGAAGATGCTGTCCCTGTCGCCAAGGGCTGGAAAGAGAAGGCCATGCTTCACTTGGGTTTGAAAGTAGGATTTTCCTGATACAGAATTCGTATTCTAGTAGATTTGTTGACTATTTTCTGATTGCAGAAGTGGGAGATAGGTTTGTGATTCGAATACGGTTGATCGATGCATGGGATGAAATCAGTGTCAGTCTTTGTTACAAGCACTGTTATGGTTTCTTTCAAGATACTGAGGATGGAATAGTTTTGTCCTTCTTCACCAGCAGTTCCTGCTCCTCTCTGATCCCCACCCAGCTGGTTTTATTTAATCAGTTTTGACAAAGGGAGGAACTGTTCATTCTCAGAGGGGGCGTGGTCTCCCCAGCAGAAAGAGTGCCTCCCTAGGGGTCTGCTTGCCTCCATATGTGTTTTCTACTTATTTTTTATTATTGTCTTCTTGAAGGTAATTGGGGAGAAAGAGAATTTTGAAAACCAATTCTCCATCAATCATTGTTAATCTTTAAAAAATCTTTATTATTTTATTTTAAGGAGCACATCAATGTAAAACAAAAAGCCTTGTTCCTTCTAATATGTAGAACAAAAATATAATTATACAGTTGAATTGCCTGCTATTAATTTTGTTTCCTAGTTGATTAATTTCTGCCATAGGAACAATGAGATATAAAAATATGTACCAGGGAAATAAATGAGCTTGCTTAGCCCATTTGCTTGAATTTGTTATTTTGTGTTTAAACCCTATGAGTAACCACATTGAGTTTAAATGGTAATTTGCATTATGGTATAATAGGAAAAAAATTCCTACTGTTGAATTGTAGAGGAAGAAGAATGAAAAGGAGAATAGTTTGTTCCTCAATATTTGTTTATACGTTGAAAGTGCAGATTATACATCTTCTTCTAGCTTCCTTTTTTTCCCCTAGCTCTGTGTAGTACATTACACACGACTTATCAGTGCTGATCTAATTGCTAGTGTTAATATAAGGGAGAGTGTACTTAAGTCTCAGTTGTTTCTATTTTTAAAAAGTTAATAGAACGCCACAGTGGAAGGAGACATTAGTTGTTTTGTTGCTCATATGACTACTCACATGGCATAAATTTTGAAAATGATCATTAGAAATTGGGAAAAAAGGTTAAGGTTAAAAGAACTCCAGAAATGAACAGGCACTAATACATGGATGGCTAGCAGTTCCTGGCCCAGATATCTGGAGTAAAAAGAAAACCAAGTAACTCCCTGTCCACACTTTTATTTTCTGTAAAATCCTGGCTTGTGATGAAGTTTTTCTTTTATGTTAACTTGATGAGTTTTCTCTTGTTTCATACGCTAGCAATGATAAATTTGCTTTTTTTTTCTAGGCGAACACATAGATTATTGTGGCTATTCTGTTCTTCCTATGGCTGTAGAACAAGATATGTTAATAGCTGTGGAACCTGTGAAGACTTACACTCTCCACCTGGCCAATACAAATCCCTTGTATCCGTGAGTATTTAGGGTGTTAATGTGTGTGGTGTGTGTGTGTGTGTGTGTGTGTGTGTGTGTATGAAGATGTGATAGTGTTTTTTCTTGAATGAGTGAATTTAGAAAATATCAAACCTAGAGGAAATCATGTAATTTGTTGCTACTTCATAGCTGATGTTTAAAAGCATTTAAGGCCGTGATTCAATATTTATTTATTCACTCAAGAAACATGTACAGAAGACTTCCCACGTGCTAGACATTGTCTTAGATACTGGGCAGTTCGAAGATGAAGATGGCCCAGAGGGTACCTCCCATCTTCTGTGGTAACCATCTCTAGCAGAGCCGGGTCTGCTGTCTTCCTGAGTTGCTCTGGGACCCCTGCTTCTGCAGCCACAGCGTCTCGCCATGCTGTGTCATCATTACCTGCCCTGCTTACCGAGTCCCTCGGTGGACTTCAGCTCTGAGACTGCAGGGACAGCTGCTTCTCTTCTCCAGTGCCTTGGCCTCAGGAAAAGACAGTTTGGCTAATGCACAATAGATTATTCTAGTGCTTAAACTTAGTCAAATGACCCAAGGCAATCTCATATATAGGTAGAAGTCCTTTGTCGTATATATACGTATATATATTTTATTTTCATCCAGTCTGTGGTTTGGATTTTCACTTTTTATAGTGCCTTTTGAGGAAGGAAAGTTTTGCATTTAATGACATACTATAGACTTTTCCTCTTTCTCAGCTTTTACTTTTTGACTGCAAACCCAGTGTCACTGAAATTCCCTCCCCATGTTTCCCTCCAGAAGTGTGTAGTTTTAGTACCTATGTTCAGGCCTATGATCCATTTTGAGTTCATTTTCATATGTGGCATAAGAGTTGGGATTGTTTTGCATGTAGCTCTTTGATTATTTCCCACCTCTTATTAGCATAAAGATAGACAAAGAGACCAATGTGAGAGTCTGTTTCTGGCCATTATTCTATTGATCTCTTTGTCTATCTTTATGCCATTATCATACTTTCTGATAACTAGCTTTAGAAGAAGTCACCTTAAGTCTCCTAATGTTATCTTTTTCAAAGAGATTTATTCTAATGGGCTTTGCACTTCGTTTTAAATTTTAGAACCAGCTATTCAATGTCTATGCCAGTATTTTGTTTGGGATTGTACTGGATATATAGATTTTTCTGAAGAGAGTTGGACCTTAACAGTATTGAATCTTCCAATCTACAGAACGGCATATCTCTCCATTTATTTAGGACCTTTCATCCTCAGAAATATTTTGTTATTTTCAGGATACATACCTTGTGCATATTTTGTCAAATCTGTGAGCGTTTCATATTAGTGATGTGGATGGTCTGGCCCAGTACTGCACATACACAGGGTAGGAACTGGGAGAAAGTTTGTTGGAAGACAAGTGAATGCATGAGGCGCGAAAGGGGAAAGTATCAGTGTAGTTAGTTGTGTCTGCTCATTTCCAGCAGTACATCTTCAGAATCCTGCAGTGTGGGAGCAGAGAGGAGAGAGCTGCTGGGTGTTACAGTGCAGGGAGGCGGCTGGTGGGAAAACACCTGCTTTTGAACTTCTGGAAAAGACTAAGCAAAAGGCAAGATAAGGATGATGGAATGAACAAAAAAACAGGTAAAGAGCAGTTGTTTTTTTTCTATAGCAGACGTGAGCAACACCGCCTGTTCTGTTGAAGATGGGACTTTTTCCTTTTGCCCTTACCGTTGCTCAGCTAGCACCCTATACCAGTGCAACCTCCCTCTCCATCTTTCCTAACCCACATCCTCCCATTTTGTTTTTATTTTCCTTCATGACTTACAAGATCTCTTAGTTAGCGATAGAACCCATCAGATTTGTGAACACAGCTGCTTCCAAATTCTGTGACCTCCTGTTAGTTGAGGGGAATGTATTTTAAGTTGTGTGGGTGGTAGTAGAATAAGGTGCTGGTCAGCTGCAGTCGGAATGCATCTCCTTGGAGAAGCGCGCAGCCTTCCCGAGCCCCTGCAACCCCTTCTTCTCTGAGGATGACCCCCACAGCCTTGCATCCCGTCTCCCGTTAGACACACCACCTGACTTTACTACTGCTGGCCTTGATTGTGTTCGTGTCATCTTGGTAAGATTCAAACTCTTAAAGGACAAGTCTTCTGAATCTTACTTTGATTTTATTCTGCATGCCTTACACTCTGGAGATGTCAGGAATTAAATATTCTCTGATGGAGACGATGCATTTATATTAATGAGTTAAGGTGCCTATTTCAGTGACTGGCGCATAGTAGATATTTAGTAAATCATTTGAAGAACAGTGAATGGGGAATGTTGTTTCGTTTTCCCACTTTCCTGTTAACCCCTGCCCAATTCACAAATTTTATCCTTTGGATGATTTAGGAGTCTTATCTGTCTATCTATTTAGCTAATTTTCATTTTGAAATACATTTTGATTTACAAAGAATTCATGAAAACAGTGCAAAGAATTCGCACATGTCCATGGACATATCCTCACTGCATTATATCCAGGACACACATGATGTCTCTTTACTGGTGATATTAACTTTGAGTGTTTGACTAAAATGGTGTCTGCCAGATTTTTCTGCCACGAAACTACTGTTTTTCTTTCTTTGCAGTCAGTGAGTACGGATTTCAGGGAGAAATCCTTGATGTCTATGTAAACGTCTCGTTTCTCATCACATTTCTGTTCTCCAATTTTAGCACCTTCGATTTATTTTTTGAAATAGTCATGGAACGTACTGTTTCTTCTACATGGATGACTTGGCGTTTCACCATAAGACCATTCTCTATTCCTTCATTTAGCTGTTTACTCATTTGTTAATTTATACGAGCATAACTCAGAGAATCCTACCTTTGATAATCTATTAGAATAATTGGTTGTGGGCAGCGGATTTAGCTCAGTGGTTCTGCCACTGGCTTCGCTTGCTTGTCGCCTCTTTTCCTCAAAGCACGAGGTAGATTGGACGGGAGGAGAAAGCGTGGAGCAAGAGGGCAGGGAGGACCCGTCCGTGAGCCCCACGGAGGGCCACGTTTAACAAGGGCCCATGTGGAAGAGAAGATTATTGTAGATTCTGCCAGAACATGCTGGTTCCCCTACGTTTCGGGAAACACAAAGGGTCGGCTAGCAGTGGATTGGTCTCCAAGGCTACCGCACCTTCCTCTCTTAGCGGAGGTGTTCGTTGTTCTGGGCACACTGTGAAGTAAGTACCTGAGCTGAATGAAGGTGGACAGAAAGGAGAGCGTCAGTGTCGCGGTCTCGGCACAAGGTGGCAGTAGTCACCCACTAATCGCGCAGCTCTCGGCCTGCGGATTTAATGAGGCATCTCGTTTTTTCTGCAGGGACTTCAGTACTAGTACCACTGACGTGCAGATTGACAAATCCAAGCCTCTGTGGCACAACTATTTCCTGTGTGGATTTAAAGGAGTTCAGGTAAGTTGCTTTAGAAGGTGTGTATTATGTCAGTTTTACTTTGTTTACTATGTCATTTTTGTCTCCTTTCAGTACTAACTGCCGTTTCTCTTCTGTTTCGCTGGCTTAGGCTTCAGAGGGTGGGGAGGAAATGGCACCCGTGGGTACTGTCCACAGGGGGCAGTCAGGATCTTGCAGACAGCAAGCTGTTCACAAATTAGGCGCAGCTGACCAACTCTGGTTTCTCCATCTTCACTCACGTTTACTGTTGATGCATCCTTGAGATGTATTTACATTTCATTCTTGGGGCATATAGGAGTAGGCTGGACAGCCCCGGGTTCAGATTCAGGCTCTACTCCTCTGTGCTACAGTAACCTGAAGCTCAGATCTGTCTGTAAATGACATTACCGCTATCTCTGTGTTGTTGCAAGAATGACCCTATGCTCGGTGACACTTGACTTTCAGTGTGTGTTAATGTGTGTGTTACTGGTATTTCAGGTGGGGTTAAAAATAGAAGGTGTAATAAAGTACATCAGCGTAGGTAGTTTCATAGAAGCATGGAATAGCTACCTTGAAAACCTCTAATGTCATGTAAAAGAGCAGGAAGATGAATTGTTTCCACTTTCTCTCATAATTAGAACAGCATGGAGGGCAAAAAAAAATCGGTGTTTTCTGTTTTAGAGGTACTTTTATTTTTCCAATAAGTATTTTGGGTAGAGTGACTACATATAGAATCATAGGTAAAGGACATGAAAAGGTGGATTTTGCCTTTGTGAGTTGAAAGCAAACAGACTTATGTATGTTTTAGAGAGCTCCTGTTCCTGACTACCTTGTGGCCCTACCTGAAACTTTGCTGTGAATAATCCAGGACTCAGGGACAGACCCATGGCAGAAATGGGGCAGAATTATATCTGGCGTGCAGTCCTGTGCTCTAACTGTGCAGATCTAGTCTTAGAGTTACTAACTCATTTCTCTCTTTTTTGTGTGTCTTTCTCCCGGACACGTGATAATAACTTCTGGGAAAAGTTATTGGCAGGTTTTAAATCTTCAAATCATTTGGTTTGTCATTTACATTAGTGGGAATTACAGTATTTGGAAGCATTTGCCTTGAAAAGGCAATTTGATCTTCCTTATAACAAGATGCATGTATATGCATGTATATGCATATGTAGTATATGGATAAGTGATACACATTATTTTGTGTTTCTTTTGAGCCTTTTAGGGCTTTAAGCTGCCCTCTTTGGTTGGACAATTTATGTGCAAAAAGCAGGTTTGTATGATGAACTTCTGCCAAAAAAGTCTTTTAAGTGTTATCCCATTCAGAAAACCTTCAGATTCAGATACTAGAAAATTTCAGAGGATAATCTGTTTGTATGAAATTGAACATGTTATCCTTTTGGGACAGAGCTGTTACAGAATCTGGCACAACCCACTTGAATTTTTGAGTGTTGCACGTTTCATTTGAAATATGGCATGGTAAGTTTGTAAGGACGATTCACATTCAAGGCACCCCGTGGACCAGTTTCTAGTGAAGTGTGCAGTATCATCCCAGGATTCCTGTTTTAAACAAGCTGCTTGACATTATGTATGGAAGGGATCAGCAACGGCCATGTCTCAGCTTCTAATTTGTATTTCTGGAAGGAAATTTTGAGATGACTGAAATCAAGAAGAGAAATACACCCAAACGAATCTCTTCTTTTGTGGTGCACAGATTTTGCCAACTAAGATAAAAGGACAGAAATTAAGGGAACAAACCAGTCTTTTATTTGCAGAGTCTTGTTGTTACTTGGTTATTTTAACTGGTTTATTGAAATTTCTCCCTAGAATAATATGTCTGATGAAATACATGATTAAGTAATATAATTGTAACTCGTACTTTGGTCTTGAGTTGTTTGGTACTTTGTGAAGATGATGGTACTTCCTGAGGAGGAGGTAGCCTTGAATTTATTTTTAATTCTAAACCACAGAGGTTATAACATATTGTCCAAGGCATCCTAGCCTTCGGTATCCGTGGTAGTGTATTGGTGCTCTCCATCTCTGAGTCAGACCTCGACTGTGTTTTTGGGTTTACGTCTCTGTGGAATTAGAGTTGCCCTGCCTCGTTTGGAGTCGACATGCACATTTGTGGCTCAGTTCTAACGTGGCTGACTTTATAGCTACCATATGGCCAAATTGTATCTGTAAACTCTAGTATAAAACCCCTGGATTTCCTCACATAGCTGACTTACATTAAATCATGGTGACAGCTGCTGGCCTGGTTTTTAACTGCAGCGGAGAGGTTCTCAAGTGGGAACCAGAGACCTGGGCCCGATCCCCAGCCCTCTGCGTGTGATCTCGGGGAGGTCTCTTCATCTCCTGGTGCTTAGGTTTTCCTGTGACTAAAGCAGGACTGAGAAAGTCTGGAACTTTTGGAAGCAACACCCTGCATGGAGACAAGCCCCTGCCTAGGGATCGACTTACCTTGCTTCTCAGTGTGTATTTCTTGTGTTGCCGTGGGGCAAGTTGAATTAAAATGGCTTTACATTTTTTCCGTATTTGTTCAAATCAGTAATTACCAAGAAGAAAACATTTAAAGTGATTTTTAGAAAGGGATGACTGGATTCGTGTAGAACGAAGTAAACATTAGGTTCAGATCACCTTACCTTTTGGGTAGGAGCTGATAAATCCGATATCATATGTGATCTCCACTAAACTGAGCTGCACAACTAGTGTCTATAGATGGTGTGAGAAGTTGATGGAGTTTGTTCTCCGGGGACTGGAAGGCAGTTTTGCCACCCCTTGAATCCAACACTGAGATTACGATGGCTGCTTTCTCTTACATCCTCAGGAGCACTTTGGCCTTAGTAACCCAACTGGGATGAACTGCCTGGTAGATGGAAATGTCCCGCCAAGTTCCGGACTCTCCAGCTCCAGCGCTTTGGTCTGCTGTGCCGGATTAGTGACACTCACCGTCCTGGGCATGAAGCTGTCCAAGGTAACCAGCACCGAGAAGCAAACCCCACAACGCCCTCCTGAAGGCATTAGCACCTCACTCTCAAAACAGGGCATCTTTCTTGAGTGAAAACGTTCTTTTGCTGACAGGACTGCATACAGGAGTGAGCATGGTCAGTAACTGAGGGAGTCGTGCTTGTGACACGTTAACGGTGAGGTAGCCCCTGCCCTCCCCATACCGGTGACCAGAGCTCTGTGTCACTGTACTGAAATGGTTTGAATTAAACGTGGACTCCAACTGCAAAGGTATCCTTTTGAAAAGATGACTTCACTAACGAGCTAAATATAGAGTAAGAAATTTTAGGCCTCATGGTTGGGCCTGCTTATTTTCACCCGCAACCCTAAATTAAATATCTGACAAGCAGTGGGTAAAAAGGATAAAGAACAGGTAATAAAGCATGAGCAGCATATCTGTTTATGCCAGTAGGTTAGTCGCTGAAATAAACTTGAAAAAATATTGCATCGGGAAGAGGAAATGCTTATTTAAAGGAAATATAAATCCTACCAGAGATCAGCAAGTCTTAACTTTACAAGTTCACATAAATCTCTGACTTTGTATTCCAGAGCAGGTGTGCTCAGCTTTAATGAATGCTTTGGCATTCTGGTTCAAATAAAATGTTACTGTGGGTTCTTTTTACCCCGAGTACATAAACTATGAAGTTTATAGATGGTTTTGGAGCAGACCGGGCAATAGGCAGACTTTGAAAAAGTCAGACATATGTGTAGGCTCTTTGAAGCATGCTTCAACTTTCATTTAGAAACTTTGTGTGCAGCCAGAAAGGGAGAAACGAGGGAGAAAGTAAAAGCTCAGGAAGAAATTTCCTTGGGCTGACTTGTGTGAGTATACATTATGAGCCCTTTGTGAACAGTGGCTTATGTGAGGGGAATGATAGCTCACTTGTTATTTTAAGAAAAGAAAGGGAGGGAAACAAAGTCCATATGTAAAATGTGCCTGCCCTGGTATGACTTTTAATCTGACGTTTTGTTTGGTCATTTGATTATTCATCATCACTCACCATTATTTATTTGGTGGCAACTTTGGAGTCATAATAGGTATACTCTTTTTTTTTCTCCCTGGCACCGGGAATCGAACTCAGGACCTTATGCTTACTAGGCAGGCATGGTGCCACTGAGAATCAGGAGGGCTTGGGCACTGACTGGGTATGGAGAATGGGAGCAGCAAGGATCAAGGATTATCATCTAGTCTTTGGCTTGGTGCGTGTGATTCACTGGAATAGGGAGCATAGATCAAAATTTGGTTTGAGGGGAAGCTGACATGCCGTGTGGCAGTAATCCGCGGGCACCCTGAGGGAGTCCTTTAGTATTTAGTTATAAAACAACCCTGTGAAGGCCAGGAGAGAGCTCTGGGTCTGAGATGGTGCATTTGAGACACGCTGTGTACGCAGTTGGCTTTTGAAGCCGTGGGAGTGGGTGAGATCACCCAGGGGTGATGTACATAGATGGAAGATCAGGAAGACCAGCAGAGAACCCCAGGAAGCGGGAGAGGCTTGGGCGGAAGAGGCGACGCTACTGACAAGACGGAGGAGTAGTCCAGGAAACAGTGGGGAAATCAGAGTGTGCGCAGCAGCAGAGCAAGGAAGAGAAGCTTCATGGGACAAATGGCACTGCTGTCAACTGCTGCCAGGCGGTGAAGTAAGACACAGTTGGACAGAAATGGGGCAAGAACGCAGCTGGGTGCGGTGGTACACCCCCCCTAGCACTCTGGGAGGCCAAGGCAGGAGGATCGCAGGATTGAGGCCCCACTGGGCAACTGAGCGACTCAGCAAGACCCTGTCTCAAAATAGACTAAGTGGGGTCTGGGAATGTAGCTCAGGTGAAGCTTCTGGTTTCAGTTGTCCTCTGCCTCAAAAAGGAAACAAAACGAAACAGCCCTCTGGGAAGAACAATTTGAGATAGGAATGAGTTGAAGAGCACGTGAGAGATGAGGGAATAGAAAAGTTCATTAGGTTAAAAAAGTCAGCAACGCATGGAAAAGGAGATAATCAGGTGTCTGAAGGGAAGTCTGAAGTACAGGAATTCATTTCTTTGCTAATGGGCAGATGGGTGAAATTTATTTCTTTGCTTTATGTGTTGCTTCTGAAGGAAAAGAAGTAGCCAGGTATGGTGGCACAGGCCTGTGATCCCAGCATTTGGGAGGCCGAGTCAGGAGGATCGATGTGAGTTTGAGGATAGTTTGGGCTCCATAGTGAGTTCAAGTCCAACCTGGGCAACCTAGTGAGACCCTGCCTCAAAAAAAAAAAAAAAAAAAAAAAAAAAAAAAAAAAAAAAAAAAAAAAAAGATTTATA